CGTCCAGCTTGTGATCGTCCCGACCGTGGCGTTCTGCTGTAGTTGCGCCTCTCCACAAGGGTGGTGCTGCAGACCAGTTCACGAGTTACCCGTATCGGCCGATCAGCTTGTTATGCAGCTGCCATTTTTCCACTGCGCGAGTTTCTGTCAACGGTTCCTTTCCTGAGCCTTGGTCGGAAAAGGCCGGGGTTAGGCAAGGCAGTGCTTTGGGCCCATTATGGCCCATTCTTGATCAACCTTCTGTTCGACAGTGTTGCGGAAACTGTTCATGCAGCTTGCCCAGGCGCCGCGCTCTGGTCCCAATGCACCGCTGCTGTTGTACGCTGGTGATCTTGTCGTCCTTGCCGACAGCCCGTCGGTCTTGCAAAGTGCTCTCACCGCTGTAGGCGCATGGGTAGCGGTTTCTTTTTGCGCATTGGTGCGGACAAAACCGCTGTTGTTGTAGTCGGCTCGCGTTCGTCTAGCTTCAGGTTCCACCTTCAAGGATCTTCAGAGGTGTGTCAGTCGATATTGTTACCTCGGGGTGGCGTTGCAAGCCCCCAGCATGCCGCGCACCGTGTTGACAAGAGCACAGGCAAGTTCCATCAGTGCTTGGGTAGGGCTGAAAACCGAGGTTTGCGCGCTCGTATGTGCTACATTCGCTGTTGTACGAATGTGCGGCTCGCAATTTTTACTTAGATTGTGTTGCCCTCCGCATGCTGGACAAGAACGCGCGCCAATTTGGACGCTGTTTGCTTTTGTGGCCTCGGAGCGGCTGTCGTGGGCGAGTGCACGCCAAGTTAGATTCAGACCCACATTTTATTGGTCCAAACATATTCGGAGACGGGCGAGCGTATTTTGATCCCGATTCGAACAGGAGCTTGTTATTGGAGCTTTGCGAATGCTGCCGATTGTTAGTTGGGAATACTTTTTTCCCACAGCCAGCAGACAAACAGGTCACGTACTACAATGTTGGTGCGCAGCCTTCGAGTGAGATTATTCCGGCGAATTTTGGACAGCTTGATTTTTTGTTGGTGCAGCATGACTGGCTTGAATGTGTCTCGCAGCTGTATTCATGCATGGATGTACCACTGGCATCACATCATTTCCTTGTGATTGCCGAGCTGAACATACAAGTGCCCAAAAGAAGCATCCAAACTGTTGTCAAAATTATCAACACTTCGGCTTTGCGCACTGACACGTTATTGAGCCATAGGTTTGCAGCATTGGTTGAGGACTCCCTTGACAGTTGTGCCAATGAACATCACAACAAGCTTTGCGCAAACGATCTTTGTTCTCATATCACGAACAGCATGCGTGTTGCGGTTGACAATTGCTTGAGCTTACGTGCTAGTAAGGCTAAACTAAACGCCCGTGGATCAGTGACGATACATTGGCTTTACTTGATCGGCGCATCATTGCTAGAAGATCCTTCAATTTTGAGTTGGAGAAGCAGTTGACTTCTGATATCAAGGCGTGTGTCCGTCGTGATCGTCGTGTTTGGTTGGAGGACTTGTTGCGCACAGGTGACTGGGAACAAATCCGCAAATTGCGCAAAGGCTCCCGCCGTAAGCACGGTTGTTTACGCGATGAGGCTGGTTCGCTGAAGGATTCGGATGAAAGGGCCGATACATTCGCCACCTTTTTGGAGACGGTGCAATGGTCCAAGCGACTGTTAATACTACCGTTTCTGACGTTGTGATGGGCGCAACAGGCTTTTGGGATTTCTCAAGGATGTCCACTGTCCCCATTCTTGTTCTCTATGATGATGACCGTACTGCTGTTCGATGCTTCCGCCGACTTGCGTTTGCGCATGCCGCGTTCTGAATCGGACTTGGCAATCGATGAGCTTGTGTATGCAGACGACACCGTTGTTGTAGCTTTTTCAGCATCCCGGGCTGCAACTTACATGGGTTGCATTGCTAAAGCTGGCGGAGATTATGGGCTGTGTTTCAATTGGCGCAAAGTTGAAGCCATGCCGATTCGCTGCGACTTCAATGTGTTGAAGCCTGACGGTCACCCTATTGAATGTAAATCGTCCTTGGTTTACCTGGGTAGTCTGTTGGATATATCTGGGGACATCGGGCCAGAGCTCAATCGTCGGCTTGGTTCGGCCAGACTGTTCGGCCAGGGCCGATTTTCAAGCTCTCAATAAAGTTTGGAAACATGCTAGCATTCCCTTGCGTCGCAAAATCACCATTTTCGATGCGCGCATTCGCTCGCAGTTGCTGTACTGCCTGCACACAGCTTGGCTGAACAAAGCATTCCTTCGAAAACTTGATGGCTTCCAGGCTCGATGTCTACGCAAGATTCTTGGAATCCCGCACTCCTTTCTCAGCCGCGTGTCCAACGTGGAGGTTCTGCAACAAGCTGTGGCCAAACCATATTCCAAAATTTTGATGCACAGACAACTGCAGCTCATTGGCAAGATTGCTGCGCTTCCTTCCTCGGACGTCATGCGAACATGTGTTTTTGGGGAGGGTTCGTATCAGCTCCAAGGTCATATGAAACCGAGATGTCGAGGCCGCCCCAAACAGGTGTGGACCTCCCAGGTGTATCAGTTAGCTGTACAGGTGGCAGGAGATTTTGATGAGTTGAAGCGTTTATGGGCGTCTCCACCGAACGTGTGGCGACAACGTGTACAATCTTTTTGCTTCGGGAACTAATTGTTCCTTCCATGCCCATGTTTCACTGTACACGAGGCTTTGACTGACTGACTGACTGCGATGCCGCTGAGGTCTGGGGTGTCTTCTTGAACGGTTGCTCGGTAAGTTAAGCGTCTACATTGGGAATCGCTGGTTTTGATGTGCTGTTTGTTGTGATGCTGCTCAGCTGCGCGTGGAATCGCTGGCCGCTGGCTGTGACGTGCTGTTCTTGTGTTGCCAATGTGTGTCCTGAGCGGGTGTTTGAAAGCAAGCGTCTACGTGGGGAAGGCTGGTTTTTTAAGTGGTCGTTTTATCGTCTCCAGTGGGTGCTTGTTGAATCGAGCGTCCAGATTGGGAATAGCGTGCCTTGCAGCTGCCACTCCCACACCGGCACGGTGCACAGCTCGCAGTCATTCACTCACTCACTCACACACTCAGTCACACAATCGCTCACACTTACGCCCACGCTCGTTCACTCGCTCACTCACGCACTCGCTCACTCACTTACTCCTTCATTCGCTGTTGTAGCATCTTTGCCGAGAGAGTAATGACGCATGTGGGGTTATTTTACATATGCCGATTATAACATGTTTTTTTGTTGCTGCAGCTTAATTATTTGCGTTGCAGCTGCTGCTGCTGCTGCTTCTGCTGCTTCTGCTTCGGCGGCGACGACGACAGCAATTGTAACGCATTGCATGGTTTCGGAAATCCATCAGGGCAACGGAGACAACACCCCCGCGTTGGCACTGTGCCCGGCAGCGCATTCAATGCCGCCGCCAGAAGCAAGCGCCACGGCACCATACGGCACCTACCCAGAGCTCGGCCATGCCCGGAGGTGCCTGCGCCTCTTGGCGCAGCATCGGACCGCTGCCGTTCCCGGACCGCTACGCCCTGCCGCTATCACGGCCTGGGTCCCGCGATGGTCGGCCCTCCCAGCTGTCGCCGCGCGGCGCGGTTTCGCGGCCTCCATGCTCGAGTTGCCCCGTGCCGCCGACCTCGGGGACGGACCGGGGCCGGAGCTGCATGAGCTCCTCACGGCCGCCCGCGGCCTGACCAGCCACACGGCACGTAGCTTGCAGGTTGCACGGTTACCCGTCGCACCCCGCAGTGCAAAAAAGGTGCGGAGAAAAAACAAATAAAAACAACACATCGCCTACCTAGTGCAAGCCCGTGCAATGTCCTTGCCGCAGTGCAGGTTTTAGTAGATTAAGTTGTCGACATGCATCCAGCCCCCTAAGAGAAGCATGAAACGCAGCTTTAAATACACAGATGACACAGCCAGGAGTGAAACACAGACATGTCGAACAGGTTTAGCAGGAGTCCCAGTCCCTGAAAACTTTTTAAGTTCCCATCTAGCTTCAGTCCTTCAACCATGCAGGAGGCAAAACACATAAAAGCAACACCACCACATACTTGCAGTCTGCAGTTGCGAGCCGGCCAAGTATGCTTGAATAACTGGTGTTGCCGTCGGGGAACCCGTTGTGTTTCAAGCGGGGCACTTGGTAAATTCAGTGTTTCCGCTGAAAGTAAAAACCGAGTGTTTCAGCAGTGCAGAGGTCGGTGTTCGGCATGCAGCGGCGGGGCAGCCTGAAGCAAGAGAAGGCTGGATGCTTACATGAAGTGTATGCACCAGGCGCAAAGACAATTAAGCAGACATGAAGCCTCCGAATCGCCGGATTCAAGCATGACGTGGTGGGACAAGTGCATGTTTTGTTTGCGATGCACACGCAACAGATCGTTTAGTGTGCACCTGTGCACAAGGGCGGCAGAGTTTTGGCAGGCATGTTGTATTTGCATGCTCCACACTGGTCGTTTCTAGGGCACCCTCAGATTGTAAATGTGAGTGTAGTTTCAAGCATTCCGCATTGACTGGCGGATAAGTACATCACGGCTTTGACTGACCATCAGGTTGTGTTGCATCTTTCACTCCATTGACGCGAGCCACAACAGCATGTTGAAAGCGGTGCTTCAATGCAGGAGAACCTCGACAAAAGCTTCGCAAGCTTAGTTCGCGATGTTCGCAACTTACATGCGCTGCTCTCAGCACACCATGTTTACCTGCTTGGACCTGGGTTCTTAGGCTGTTGAGGTTCCAGGCCAATTACTTTTCAGTGTTTTTCTGCCCAGTGCGATTGCGATTCCCACTGACAGGAAAGCCAGGAGCTTCTGGCCTCTTGCATACAAACGGGATGTATCAGCCCATCACGCAAACAGTGCAGCCAGGCATAGAATGTAAGTAAGAACCTCAGGATTTGAACTTGTTCTGGGAACATACACACCCCGGACTGGGAAGTGGAAATTGGTCCATATGTTCGATAAAGCACCGTCGACCCGTCAACATCAAACCCTCGATAGTAATTGCTGCATCCTTGGACGATGGGTGGTGGCAGCGATGGTTATCGCGCAGCACGGGACCGTGGTAACCAGTTCGTGAAGCTTGGCCAGGAGGAGGTCGACCGGCTCACCAAGCCGTGGCATTTGTGTGTGTGTGTGTGTGTGTGTGTGCGTGTGTGTCAGAGTCTGCACGTGTTTTGTCTGTATACGATTGTGAACACACACATGTACATATATCTATACACACATGCATATGCGTATACATCTCCCCATCTGTTCGTTTATGTGTTTACTGGTAGCTACACATATACCTTTATTTTAAAAAAGAGGTATAATAAACCCTATGATGCGATGGAAAAGTATAGTATAGTAATGTATAGTAAAAAAACAAACAGAGTAGTCGTCACTTTTGCTCTACAGATATCGCGCGGTTCATGATGTGTAAGTTCAGTTAAGCCACCATACTTTCCGTAAAAAATCCTAGTTTTCTAACTGTAAAGCTTTCGACCGCAAACAAAGCATAGTTCCTGACATGGATGCCGACGAAGACGATCAAGGAGGTGGTCTTCTTTTAATAACTTTTTCAAGCAAAGATGAATGCCTAATTGGCCTTGTGCAGGACGAGCGGATTAATTTCATGAGCAGGTTTGCGAATATGCAAGTGAAATTCGTGCATAATCGCATCGCAAGCCGACACATGTGTGCCCAACGGCAACTTCGTATTCAATCCGGTCAACCCTTTATGTTTTTTCCTTGTCAAGCGGGAAGCAAAATCCTGTAAAGATGAAATTCCGTTTGCCTAGTTGTACGATGATGCTGGGCGGAAACAAGCCAAGGCGGAGTTAAACGAACGCCTGGACGTCCTTAAGGATTCTTTGCTGTAAACAGCAAAACAGCAATGACCGGATTAATCACCACAGTGACAGCTGTATGATAAAGGAAATCTTTTCTGAAAGAATCAAACACATCGAGAAAGGTGGATATGTGGATATGTTACGTCGTCAGTGACAGTATTAGTAACAATACCAACAAAACAGCAACCCAAAAAGCGCAATTGCCAAGTCTAAAATGTACAATGTGCGTTGCTTCACGTTTACATGGGGGGGTTTTCTGTATATGGTGCACTACTATGGTGCACTTTTCGGTGCTTACAGCAAGGAAGCGCTAGCCACTGTGTAGGGATTCAAAAAAGGGTTTAGCGACATTCCAAGCAAGCCTGCAGCAAAAGGGGCATCCCAAGCAAGTCACCACAAAACTCTGACATACTCTTGCCGGAGTTTTTAGTGGTCATCATTTTCTGACGTGCGAGGGTGGTAACTGATTCCGTAAGGACAGACAAGCCCGGATGGACATGGCTCAAATGATGCACAGGCTTAAGATGAAGTAAAGTTATAATATACATGTAAAGCTTCCAGCTCATATCAATACAGGAAAGCGAGAACAAAAAAACGACTACTACAACTTAACCTAGACAAATAGAATCGAGTAGAAAGTTTAACACGGAGCTAAAGCATGTTGAGCATTCTTCGGCCCTCACCACTAACAAGCCTCTTTCGGCCTTTCAAGAACAAATATTTTTGAATAAGCCATCATTGCATTACCAGTGTGTGGGTATGTTGGTAAACGGCGCAGGCGTGAGTATTTAATGAATAGTAGCTGGTAGCCTTGTACTTTATCCAATTGTGAATACATGTAGGACTCAACAGTTATATGTTGTTTTTATAAAGCCTGGCTTGTATGTAAAACATAGTGTGACTCTCATCTTACCCTGAGTGAACCCACACGAGTAATTTATGTGGGAGATGAAAGAGAAATAGCGGGTGGCAAGCACGAACATTCTGCACGGTTGGCAGAAACCTAACTCTCCACTGCATAAATGCATTTACCAACTACCATTCGGCAGTCTTTGAGATGTACAGCTAGGGATAAGCCGATATTCCAGAAAGTCGTGAAGATATTATACAAATCGATTATTGACTCGAAAAAGCTCGGGCCTGTATTCCGACGTGCTCCCCATGTCTATATTTGTACCTCGACTGAGCAGGATGCACTGGAAGCATACGGCGAAGCTCTATGCTTGGCGGAGACTGAGCAGCTTTGCATTCCCCTGCTGGCCAACCGAGCACTCGCGTCACTGCGATTGGATCGTTTTTCAGAAGCGCTGGCCGACTGTGACAGAGTCCTGCGTTCCAACCCTGAGCATGCCAAGGCTTTGTTCAGGCTCGCAGGATCGAGGGACAGTTGGTTTCGGTCCAACGAGGATACAAATATGCACACACACGCACTCGCTTTTTCTTTTATGTTCAGGCGTGGGCAAGCTTTGCTTGGGCTCGGGCGGCACGTCGAAGCTGCCAAATGTCTGGAGGAGGTAAAGATCTTGGAGCCTCAGAACGAAGAGGCCAAGACGATTTCTAAAGTGGGATTTTGCAATGCACATCACTCGAGGGTCCCGTTTTGATACAGAGGTTGCTGCAGCCTTGCGCCGCGCTCAAGCTGCTGCCACACAGAAGCGCGGGAAGTTCGATTTCCGCCCGATGCTTGCGGAGGCAACGGACCACAAGACTGAGTGAATTGAAACATAAAACTGAATTGCGGGCTCCCTGCAATTGGTGCTGCAAGATTTGGATCCTTCCGCTTGCCGCTTGCTCCTGTGAACTTTGTGTTGTTCTGCTGCGGTTGCTTCCTTTTGCTCAACTGGGGCCGGGGGGGGTAACAGTAGGTCCGGAGCGGCGTGCAACAGACCGGAGGGCTCGTATTCGCCGTGAGTCTGACCTTCCGGGAGCTACGGCGGTTAAAGCTGTCTATTCGCTGCCTTCTCCGAATCCCCACGATTAACTAGCTCCCCGACGTTTTGCTTTTCCGGCACTATGCGTCGCATTTTTGTGAGGCCTGCCTCCAAGAAACGTTGCGTCTGGAACACAGCCGACCTCTGAGCGAGTTCTGCAGCGATTCGATGGACGCCCTGGGGATGCAACGGGTTTAGGGCCGCAGGGTTCGGCCCTGCCTGGTATTTTCGGTTGCGGTTGCCTTCAGTCCTGAAGTTCAGGTGCCATGAAAAGCAGCCCAATAATCCGGATATGGTGATTGGGCCGATTAGATCATGCACTCACTCGGTTCTCACTTCATCATCATGTCATCGCAGCTGGCAGGATCCCGATCCAAAAATCTAGAATGCCTTGGTGTGTATTTTCCGCTCCTCACAAGGTACGAGTAAGAGTAAAGGTAGCAAGCAGCACAATTTTCAGCCCTACGCGTGCAAGTCGTGGCCGCAACACGCATAACAGAAGCAAGGCCATGATTTGCAACCACAGGCCGTTGACGAGCAGCGAGGATTTCACATGGGGCCTTGAGAATTACCTATACGATTTGGGGGTTCCTTCTTATCATTGTGTGATAATGGGCCCCGAACCCTGGGCCTACAACCCCAAAACAGTAGGATTCATAGATGATAAGGAACCCCAATAAAGGCCAAAGGTTTCTTAAGCAGATTCTTACATCAACACCCTCGCGAGGAGCTTGTGGAGTTCGACCATGGCCTCGGCTGGCGGGCCAAGCGTGACATCTCTGAAGGCTTTGAGAGTCCCTAAACCCTAACCTCTATGACTTTCCCGGTTAGCTCAGTCTCACTCCTCAGACTCCGAACCACATGCCTCGCCTGGATTGTCCGAGCGTGAGCGCCGAAACCCGGAGATGCGCGCCGCGAACTTGCGTTCCTCGAGCGAACTTGTCCGGGAGATCCCGGTTCCTAGAAGGATCTGACGAAGACACCACCGAACTCATTCCCAATGCACTTTGAACGCAAGCTTCAACCGGGAGTAGCCACGTCCATTCACATGCACAACATGTGCCCCTCACTGCCTGCGACTTAGAATTTCTCCAGGGGAGCTCTTGATCGTGGGGAAACCGCTTATCTTCGCCGCCTACACAGCGGCCTGGCAGTAGCTTCTCAGTGCGGCCTCACCCTGTGCACCACCAGAAGCCTGCAAACCTACCCAGCTCCCGGAAACCTTGCAAACGTAGACCCCTGATAAAGATTCCCGCTGTTCGACTGTAGGTTTTTTGCTTTGAGTATCATTGCATCATAACTTTGGGGCCTAAATAATTACCACTACTATTTTGGGAGTTCTTTACTATACGCATAGTAAATTTGGCCCCGAGACCCTATTCTAATCACTAAAGCCCCAACATTACTCATAAAACCCTGAGTCGTTTGCGGGGCGGCGGTTGCTCGAGAGCCTGCACCAAGGAACTTCGCCAAGGACACCATCAGGTCCTCGTTGAGAAGGCCAGCTCCCGAACATGACTCACCATTGATATTCGGGGAGCTAGGGAGCCAGGGATGATGAGAATAGCTATTAAGTAAGGAGCTAAAGAGCCAATGGAACCCCCAGAACCACTGGTTAGATGAGACACACAAAGACCAGAGCTCGGAGTGAAACTGAACCCACGGCACGACCTCAAAACCTCAACTCAGGTGGAACGTAAAATCCCTAAGACCTTATCATAAACCCTAGACCCCATCAACATGCAGGTTCTGGCAGCCGGCGCTCAGCACGATGCTTTGTGCAAGCTCTGCGGCCCGCGCGATGCACCACCGCCGAACACAGGCATCCTTAACGAGGTGCTGGGAAATCAGGGTTTGTTATATAGTTTTTTATTTAAAGTCGCTGCTGACCGAATGCAAAAGGAACTTTATTTAGTGTTATGGAACCCCCAACAACTGCGGAATCTGAGCATGTGAAGGAGACAGCGCGCGAGCTGCTGCGGAGAAACTGCGTGGTCTGCCACACTGGGATCGGAGTCTGGAATGAGACCTCGTTTCTCAATCATGCGGACAAGCCGAACGCAACCCGATTGGTCTGCGGAGGTGGTTTTAAATGATTCACGTCATTCATTGCTGCTCAGAAGTGCAGGATTGTTTAAGAGCGTCGGACGTCCGTGAGCAGAGCGATAACACAAAGCGAGATTCTGCTCGATAGTGCAGACACTGTCTTCAGCCCAATGTAAGGCAACACGCTACTTTATCGCTGATTGGGTCCTGCTTCGCGCAAAGAAAGAAATCCCTGGAGACACGGAGATCACGATCTCTTACATCGATGCCTGTGCCGACTATTCCCTCCAGGCCTCCTGGCTTACCTTTGGTGAGGAGGGAATGGAAGAATGGTAGTAATATAGTAGTTATACTTATACCCCATTCCTCCATTCCCTACTAACCAAAGGTCAGTTACAGGATTATTAAGGCCCCATATATTATAGTACCCTTATAGATCCCCTTATAGGATTATTAAGGCCCCATTCATTATAGTGCCCTTATACATCCCCTGAAAGTATGATTATGGTATTAGTATAGTATATAAGATTGTAGTATTATTATAATGTTATTATAGTCTGATTATAGGATTCTTAAGGCCTCCTGGTTGGAGAGCCTTGGGGTGCCCGACTTGGCCTTGCAAGAGCGCGCTCGACGCTGGCTCGAGAGCGACCCGGAGCTCCTGGCTCTGAAGCAGAGCCTTAGGGGTACTCAGAAAAGCTTTTTAAATCTTCGGTTATCATAATTCCTTTAGAAACATCTTTAAACCTTTTGGTTATCATAATCCCTCAGAAGCAGCTAAAATTGTACTTTTTGCTAGGGGTCTAAGTTCAGTATAGGAGCCTCTCAAGCAGATGCTTCGAAAGCTCCGGACAAGGAGGGCCGCTGCAGCAGAAGAAACGCTTGTTACAGCAGTTCCACGCTGAAGCCGGCTCCCTTTGGTGCTGGGGCCAGGTGGGAGTTTCCGAAAACTAGGGGTACGTACCTCGTTTTGGGGTCCTTAATCAGGACCCTACTTTTCAGCGTACTATATGAGGGTCCCCTATTTTCGGAAATCTCCCCAGGTAGTGCAGTGGCTGCGGGGCGTAAAGATCGCAGCTCAGAACTCAGGAGCCTTGGTGAGGGGGGGCCTGGCCCAGACTGTACTGTCCCTGTTCCACTCTATCCCGTTTTACTCCTGTAATGTAGGAGTCATAGAGGTTTTTGGGTTCCTGATTATGAGTCTGGTACAATGTACCCCTATACCCTGTTCCAATTATTGAGGCAGAGAGATATTATGAGAGGCCAGGAAACATCCATGATCGCCCCGCATCCAGGCTTGAATGCCAAGCCTGAACAGGGTGGTTGTCAAAACTCCGGTCCCTTTTTGGGTACCCTAAATACTAGGTGCCGTATTGTATTAAGGACCCAAAAAGGGACAACCATTTTGACAACTACTTAGAGGATCATGGGACTTAGTAAGTAAGGTTATAAGTCCCCTAATTGGGGTTATAAGTAATTATAAGTATAGTTACCTTATTTATAACCCTAGTTACTAAGTCCCATGAGCTTTTAAGTACCCAGCAGGAGAGAGAGGGCTGGCCCTGGGTGCAGCTTTGGCCTGCGCTGAGCTTCTCTCGCGACACCTGGAAGCTGAGCAGAGCTTGGAATCCACGTTTGGTCGTTGCGGTTTAAAGTGGATAGCAGCGACCACGGCCGACAAAAGCGGCAGCGGCATCACCATCAACATAACTGTTCATCCTCCTATTCCTCCTAATCATCGCGAGCCATCATGAGCAGCATTTTGCATGTTGCTCCCTTCCCAAGTATTTTCGGTTCTCGTGGGCAAATCGTTGTCGAGACTAGGCTGGATCTATCTGGAATCTGAAGCAAAGTGATAAGTTAGGTACGGCCCCCACTCAGTAATAGTTGAATAATTTCATAATATAGATATATTAGGACCTTAATAGTAGCCCTATTATAGACTCCCACTGTAAGGGGGCCGTACCTAAGTGATAAGGCTACGACAGCGGCCCAACAACCGAGATCCCAGGTCCACGACATGCAGGTCCTCGAGGCATGGGCAGACTGCGCGGCCATGCTGATGGACCTGCCTGAGAGCATCTCCTCCTCGCCTGACTTCGCGCAGGAGTTGGGGGGGTTTCGGATATGAATAGCGATGACAACTCGAGGAGTTTATCACAGCCGTACAGTCAGTAGTCTTCGAAACGTTGCCTGAACGTGAAGCAACATCCCCAAGGTGATGGGCCTTTGCATCGACGAGATGCAGGACAACGTGGAGTTCTTCTTCGGACAGACCAGCGTAGAAGACGTTGACTTCTCGACCCTGGTTCTTGAGTGGGCTACGCTGCGCTGGTTTCACTCTGCCCAGGCGGCAGCTGCATCCACTCCGCCCCAAGTCGCGGCGGAGAACCAAAGCCCAATGTTGGGCGAGTTAGACTAGCCCAAAAAGAAAAAGGCAGATGACTTATTCTTGCAGGGCATGACCCATTGACCATGACCAGAGAGTATTCATGTTGCTTTTCATTGCTACAGTGGCTACAACATCTGACATGAAGCTGGGATAGCCAGCGGATCCTTCCGTGCAGCATGCAACGAGGTATGATTGACGGTTTGACACTGGCATAGTATTGAAGACGAGAACGGAGCGTAAGGATCAAGAACGGAGCGTAAGAATCAGACATTGAGCATGAGTGGACAAGAATTCAATAGTATCCTCGTGAACTCTGCACAGATGTCTCCAGGTTTGCAGCCTTCACATCATGACCGCAGGTGATATCAGTCGGCCTCCTGTGCACAACCATGGGTGAAAAGATCTGGTGGTGGGTTTTCTGTCGACTCAAGCTCTGAGTTTTCCCAGGAACGCGTGCAGAGCCTTTGCGCGGAAGCCGTGCCTCCAGACCCGGTCTCGCATGCAAGGCTGCCGGTTGAAAGGTCGTAGATTTGGAGATGGGTCCCTCCAATCCTGTAGACTTTAGACCATGAAACATGTATAGTCATCTATAGACTCGAATTCTGGTCTTGCGTTTCCTGCGAGTGATCTCTGAACTCCTCCATTCAACACAAGTTCAGGGTGCTTGATGATTGGGGCACTAGTTCAGCAGTTCAGCACTGCATTGCAAAGACACATGTGCAGTTCCTCCCAAGGAGGTTGGTATGCCGTTGGTGCATGTACTCGTACATGCGTTGCAGGCTTCCTTTCTCAAAAGCATGACTTACCGAACAACGACAGCAACAAAACAACAACGGCAAAACAGCAAAAGCACCGGAAGCCGGAAGCGGCAGCAAGAGCAGCCAGCAGCAGCACCAACGACCACAACCATAACCATCGTAGTGACTAACTTGGCTGCTTGACTGGTAGATGATTCTGAGAGTGACAATAAGTATCAATGATAATCATGAGTCATTGTAAGAAGGCAAGTTGTAGTCATCATGAACTTGTAAGGAAGCTCCCAGCGGAGGCCACACCTCGAGGAGCTCCGAGAGACAGCCAACAGCAGGTCGATGATGTCCATCAAGCCAAGGCGCTTTTGACCGTGGTGTAGGGGTCAGGGTATAGAGTTTAGGGTTGGGGTTGTAGGACCGTTTAGGGTTGACAGGCCTCTAGAGACTAGGATGATGGCTTGAGGGTTGATTGGCTTCCTGGAACCTCATCAGCCCCATGACCCACGCCTTGAAGTTCTTGCCGAGCACGAGGTTTCAGGGAAAGCTTATCCGGAGTCCGCCTGGACCGTGTACTGTTTTTCTAAGTGTTCGCACGGAGGTGCGATAGAATGAAGACACGAGAGACAAATCCTTCTGAGAATTCTGCTGGCCTCACCTCGCAGCGAGTTTCTGTATGGTAGTTGTTTCCATTTCTCAACAGTCCGAAATGTTATTCCTATTATATACTAATCATCAACCCTCAATTCCTTAGCCAACTGTTGCCTATACCCGGAAGCTCTGTTCTATGTGCATGGCTTCCTACATGGCAAGCCATGCAGGAGGCATGCGCGATTTCTTTGCCCCGTACCTTCAAGAAGACTCATGGAATCCTGCAGGGGTCCAATTTTTACAAAAAACAGGTTTGTTTAAAGCTGCATAGGAGTTTCCATGAAGCTTTAAGAATCGGCTCCTTCTGTAGCCTTTCAGGGAGACGCCTCTACCCGGCGAGGCGGACATCTGCCTGGCTCAGGTTTTGGGCACATCGCACCTCTGGAACAGGTGTGTAAAGATATATATATATATATATATATATATATATATGTATACACATATATGTATATACATATATATATAGTGTATACATATCTATATATATATATACATACATACATACACATATACATAATTACATATTTGTCCGTCAATATATGCTGGTATTTCGGCTGTGTTAGTCATGTATGTGTACGCAGCTATTCAAACCTAGTCTGCTCAACTAGTCTGGTCCAATCGGTCGAGTCTTCCCCAGTTAGTTCACGGTTACAGTACATAAACCGCACGGCGCAGCACATATGTATCTTCTTTGTGTTGATATGGACCGGCTGCTACAGCTCCGTGAGCGAGTTGCCTGCTGTGTGCTTGAACTTAAAAGTTTTTGTGCGAGCTCCCAACAAGCCGGTGGAAAAAGGGGTTCGGCGTGTTGCCAAAAAGGGTCCGCTTTGGATCACAAGCTAGACTAGAGGTTCATAGAGGTTTAGACTCGCGATGTGGTGATTCCGCATCATGCTGCCTGCATAGCTCGGACATGACCTGAACGGACATGCACAGGGTGTGTGCTGCATGCGCACTGTACAACATGCAGGTTTCCTTGTTCCAAACCGTCGTTTCTATATTTATAGACAGGCGATTCAAGAAGTCTCCATACCCAGTTTGGTCGGCCACTCAACTCCTGCTTCAGTCGCTTACGCAGCTGGTGAGCATGTAGGGTGGTTGGCAAGTTGCGGGTCCATGTGGGGAGATCAATGATAGAAGGGGCTGCTGCTGCAAGCTGTGTAGTGCTTGCATGCCCAAGCGGAGCTTCGCGAGTTTGGCCGGTTTGGCCTTTGCCAAGGATGGAATGGTTGTCGAGGACAAGCAACAAAAGCTTCGAAGTTGTTGGTGGCCATCTCAAGGGCTCCGTTCTTTAGTAAACCTCTAAACAGATGCAGTGCTGCATGCAATGTTCAGTATGCCCTTCCCGTCACACGCTTGGGCATCAGTGCGGGTTCAATAAAGGGTTGTCCCGGTTGCATGCAGGCGGTTGAACACAGGCTACAAGTATCTACAAGCACCGACTCACCCCCAACCGCCCGGAATCTAAGCCCTCAGCATCGAGCGGCAGGATCTCGACATCCCGACAATTCCTGACCGCTCCGCAGATTCACGGGAATTCGTTCCTTCCTCAATCCTTGCTGAATTTTGACAACTTTGGCCGCTGAAGAACAGAAAAGGCCAGCGTGTTTGGAGTTTGCGCCGTCAGTTCCAGGTCAGCATATAGATCATCAGCCACAGCGCCATCATGCAGGCTTCGAATCATCAGTGCGAGAGGGCATGTGGGATCCGTGCTGTTGGCAGTGGTTGACAGGGAGTAGGCAGTGAGATGCACCAAATGGGACTTCCCGAAACCAAGGTCCTTATATCGCTCATCTCACCGGCCTGGGAGGGGGGTCCTGTATGGATAAATTGCCCTCTCGTTGGAGTTCGATGATCTTTTTTTATATAGTGGTATCATTACATGTGTTATAGTATTGCAAGTTCCAGCTTTATCACAGCGCTGTAGCAGTTTCAACAGTTGCACGCTTCTTTTGCCTGCCTGAGGTTCGGCCCAGAGCGCTCCGACCAGGAGACCTCGCCCCGAAGGGCCCATGCTGTGGATGTGTCGATGTATACATATGCTGCATCAGTTCAATGTATCTAGCCCGTTAGAACAACAAGATCTTACAAGCGCGCATCTACCTTTGAATATACTTGAGGGTCGTCTGGTCTAGATACTCATTTTGCAGGTGCCGGAGCTATTTGCGCAGCACTAGGGAGCGTGCCCACAAGCGGCATCCGGAAAAAAAACGGCAGGGATGTAGACATCGTTTTACCATTATGACTCGGCAGCATGGAGATCCCGAAGATGAAACTGCCGACGAGCAATTCACCAACCAGTGCGGCAAGTTCCGGCTTTACTATTCCATGTTCGGAAAGGAGGAGGGGTGGTGGATCATGGACGACTCTCTGGAAAGTATCGGCGCCCAGTTGAATAGCCGAGGCTACTGCGTCTTAGACCGATTCCTGACCGACTCCCAAGCCCTGGAGCTCAAAAAGGAGGTGGGTCCGAAATTAGGGGTACCTTATTTTGGTGTCCTTATAATAAGGATCCTACTGTTTAGGGTGCTATATTTTGGGTCCCCTATTTTCGGAAACTCCCAGGTGGCCGAGTGCCATGCAGAAGGGCGCCTGGAGGCCGGCGGCCTGGTTAACGGAAAGCTACCTTCGGCCGACGATGCGAAGTACGCCGACCGGGCCACACGAGGGGACGTCATCGGCTGGTTTGATAGCAGCCAGGCGGAGTGGCCCCACGGGAGAGGGCTGGAAGGCTACTTGCTGAAGCTGGGCACCCTTGTCTCTGAGCTGCAGAAGACTGTGCCGGAACTGTCAAAGATTACTTCACGTTCGAAGGCCATGGTCGCATGTTATCCTGGGAAAGGGGCACGATACATCAAGCACGTCGACAACGATGGCAAGCATGCCCTTTGTAAAACCCGGCTTCTCACGGCACTCATCTACCTGAATGATGGGTGGGAGGATGGTGATGGAGGTGAGCTGGCGATCTTCAAAGCTGATGACGAGAACGCTCTTCGCAGGGTCGTTCCCCCGATTGCGAACCGTGTCCTCCTTTTCTGGTCTGATTGGCGGACACCCCATGAGGTTCGGCCTTCGGAAAAGCTGCGATACTCTGTCACTCTTTGGCTTCTGGATAACACGAAGAAGAGCCCCATGGCCGAAGAGGGCTACAGTCCGCCACCGTCACAGCCCCCGGCTTCCCCAAAATCTCTGGATCTGCAGCACGAGTGGTGTGAGCAGCCGGGGCTTTGGGAGCTCAAAGTGCAGTTTCCTGGCACGGATTTGGTCGAATGCCCCGCGCTGGAGCTGTCCGATGCCCAGGTCCGGCTCGTGCGCGCAGGCGAGTCGGTTCTTTGTCTTCCCCTTCCGGCCGACACGACTGGATCTCCAGCCTCCAAATGGTCCAAGAAGAAGCGCACTCTGACAATTCAGTTCCAGCGCAGCAGCGCAGTGCCGGCTTCACTTAGCTCGGAATCCTGTTCCGTCTTCGCCGAGCATCTCGCATCCCAGGGCTGGGGCATCATCGATGGCTTCTTGCCGGGTCCCCAGGCCGACGAGCTGAGGCGCTTCGTGCTCGAGCAGAGGTCATCGGGGAAGCTGCAAACAGGCAAAAACTCTCATGAGGGTCCCATCAGATCTCCAGAGGACCTGAAAAGTGCTGAAACTCAGCCCATGAAAAATGATGAGTACACCTTCTGTGATTCAGAGAGCATGCAGGCCCAATGCTTGCGGGACTTGACCCGTCGATGCAACCAGTTGCTGGGCAAGCTTATGGTTGGCTCTGGTCCAAACTTGGGAAAGCTTCGGGAAACCAACCTTTTGCAGGGCCATCCCATGATGGCGGTTTACCCCGGGAATGGATCAGCGTACGGCAGGCATCTGGATTCCACTGCTGGCGGCCGAGGTGCAAACGGAAGAGTGCTGACTCTCGTCCTTTACTTGAACCCTTTCTGGCATGAGGCCCATGGAGGCTGTCTGCGGATACTAAAGCAACTGGCTGACGATGGCAAGTCCGGCACGGATGTGGAACCGCTGCATGGTCGACTCGTTGCATTCTTCTGCCAAGACCAGAACCCCCACGAGGTTCTCCCAGCTTGGGCGGAACGTGTTGCAGTCACGATTTGGTACTACGACGGAGATCGCCTAAAAGAGCGCTGTCTGGGCGACGAAGCGACCCTTACTGGAGTCTTTGAAGGCGGCTAGGGACTAGTCGAGTGCGGCTCGACGCCGTTTTAGACTGAAGCCATGCGCGGGCCCCGACTGACTCGATGTATCCTCGAGCTCGCACGAAAATGGAGTGTTGTAGGCCATGGCGGTGTGTCATGTTACGTAGCCAGGCATTAACTAATTGCTTGAATCTTCATCTGCTCACCAAATGCAGATGTCAGCAGGATCCGTCACAAGTTCCTGTCAGGACGGGGCATGTCGGATTCCGACGTGGGTCCCAGACCCTCGCTGAGCGACGTTCGCCAGAAGTCTTTCTCAGCCACTTGCCGGAGAAGTGTTCGTACAGAAGGGCGGGAATGCGACTTGCTTCTTCTGCTTGCCTTGTCCTCATCCATTAAGGAAAGCAACTGCCTTGCAGCTGCCAAGATGACCATGCTCAAGCGGAGGGCTCAGCTCTGACACCGTGGGCCCCACGCGGCATGTTGCAGAGGCATCACCTGCTGCCGTCTAAGGGAAAATCCTTGGTGTCCCGGCCCCAGAGCTTTCCATGTTCCTGTCCGGCACAAGAGTCTGACTCTGAAGGAAGTGTTTTTCCCAACTCGCATGACATGCATCGAGCAGCTAGCACCCTTTGGGGAAGCTTCGAGGCAAAGAATCCGGCATCAAGTGGCACTTCGGCCGCAGCCAGACGAACCGGTTCTTATCCGTCTGCCACAATCGCCGGGGAAAGCCACTTCAGCTAGTATTCTGTGATGCTATGTCCACATTGAACGGGGTGCTGTCTAGGGAAACATCATATTGTCTTAAAATGAGCTGGGTATCCTGCACATGCTCATCAAGGGCCTTGAAGTAATTAACAATACGTAGCAAAAACAGCAGCCACGTATAGACCGTCATCGTCGGATTCGAGGCCGGTTCTGTCAAGATCAGTGCCAAAGCAGGTCTGTAGAACGCTTCAGGTGGCATTCCTTCAATTTCCTTCTTAACCCTTAATTTCCCAACTCTCTGCCCCAAACACTGAACAATGCACCCGGCTCCCTGTCCGTCTGAAGCCATCTTTTCAAAGATCAGGGTTGTTTAGGTGTCTGCAGCAACTCGTGCCTTGTTGCCATGTTGGCTGCGCGGTTGGCCTGCATCTTGTCAACTCTAAACCCTGCATCCCTCAGTTACTTTATCTGTTGATATACTTATTGTTGCTTGTCATCCTGACTACTTCCTTTAGTTCGTCTCACTTTGGCAGACTCCGAACCATATGCCTCGCCTGGATTGTCCGAGTGTGAGCGCCGAAACACTGTAATCCCTATAAGCATGAGGGGCTTAGAGATCTTCAATCTCCCCAACGTTACTGGAACTCTGAGGGACAACGGCGGATGCCGTACAGAAGCCTCAACCATCGAAACACAAAGCAAACATCCTCCCATACAAGTTGTCAAAAAAATCGAAGCCTGCAAGCCCCCAAGCCCTGAACTAAAACCCTCAGCCCAGAGGGACACATGATGCCGGCGAAGAAGGAGGCTTAACATAAACAAACCCAGAGACTCCCCCAAAAAAACATGGAAGGATGTATGAGGTTATATAAGGTGTAACAGTGTAGGCTTTCAGCCCGGATGCAAACGGGGTTTGGGTTTAGTGTGTTGGACCCGAAACCCTTTACCCAACAATCCTAAACCCGGAACCCAAAGTGTAGTCTTATGAAAATCTGTTGCCTGCTAACTCTGGAAATACTAAATTTCCTAAATATGCGTTTCAGATCCGTTGGGGATCCGTTTTGGATCCGTTTGGGGCCCAGCCCAGCCCGGGACCCCAAAACGGATTTGCAACGGGGTCCGCAGGCGGGTCCCCCAGACGGGTCCCCCGGCGGGTCGCCGAAACCACGAATCCCTCGAGAGGGATCCGTTTTTAATCCGTTTTGGATCCGTTTTCCCGGGACCCCAAAACGGACCCAAAACGGATCCAAAACGCATCCAAAACGCATTCAAAACGCATCCAAAACGCATCCAATTCGGACCTGCAAACACGCATGCATTCCAAACGGATTACCAAACGCATTCCCCCATGCATCCAAAACGGATTCTAAACGGATTATTAGGCTTCTGCACAACAACCCAGTGTTAGCAGAACCAGACTTTCACAAGTCAACGCGACCCCAGAACCTCGTCTGCCTGTGTCCGAGTTGCGAGAGGGTAAACTCTAAAAACCCGAAGCCCTGCATATCCCTATATGTGCATATGTATCCCCTGAAACATGCCTACAAATTCCTTCCTACATGCTCCTTGTGGAGCCCCCGCCTGGTTCCCCCTACTAGCCCCCGAGGTTCCAATTGAGCTCATTTCAGGACAAGTAGAATTAGGCGAAATAGGGAAACTCGGGGATTCTTCCTAGGCATTTTGCCCCTGCTGTGGATTGAGTCGGCCAACGCCCGCTGGAAGCCACTCGGACGGGTTTTGAGGTTTTGGGTTGGCTTAGGGCTCAGGGCTCCAATAAGGATTCAGGGTTTGGGCCTCTAGGGTTTACCTGTAATCTCAACTACATCACGACCCGTAAAACTGTAGCTAGGTGGGGTTACAGGTAGGTTCTGGTTTCGAGGAATTGGGGTTTCAGGATTTACGTTTTGCCTGGCCTTCATGAGGCCTGGGTGCAAAAGGGGCTTGAGGCTTAAGGGCTCCAAACCCTAAACCTGTTTGGGGCTTTCGGTGTCACTGCTTCAGGGCTTGATGAAGTGAATGTGGGGCTGCTAAGGGGCCATACCGGGATATATGCAAGGATGCAAGAGGATACACCAAGCCTTTTAGGTTTTAGGCGTATGGGCGTTTAGGCTTCGTGTCTTAATGAAGGCTTCCTTCAGTTGATGTAGTGTGTTGGGTTTACAGGCAGGCTGAATCCTGAAAGTCCCGGCCCCAAAGCTTCCGAAACACTTGGAGCCCAAAGCCCTTTAACACGACCTGGGGGATCACGCAAGAACGGACGTGTGAGGAGCCTTGGCTGCCTGGTGCGAGAGCGAGTCGAAAGCCCTGAAAGCCCCAAACCCCTGAGCAATAAAATCCGGGTCAGGGCTTAGGGAAGTTTGGGGTTCAGTGTTTAATCGAGGGGCCGTAATAATTACTGCCTATACGACTTTGGGGTTCGTTATGATATTATGATGATAACAGTGTTTTCTACCCAAAGCCCTATTCTGGCTATTAAGGCTCCTAAGTTAGGCTCCAAGGCCTCATGTTGTCTTCATCTTGGCTGACGACTATGGTTGGGCCAACATGGGCAAGCACCGGAAGCATCCCCAGGGAGCGGCAGAGGTGGGCTTCGGGTTAGTTCGTTGTTTTTTTGTGTGCGTTGAAGGTTGTGGGGGTTGTGGGTTTGGGGGGTTTGGGACTTAGGGACCCTAAACTTAAACCCTGCATGTCTTCGGTCGTTGCACTGGTATGCTTCCTAAGACACCTCGCGAGAGTGCATCGATCCCAGCCACGCGAAATATCGCACCTGCAAAGACTGCCGCGTTTTGAGCAGGGGAGCATATCAAAGTTGGCTATGGGAAGAGGGACCCTAAACCCTAAACATTGGGTACTGCCCCCTCTCAGTAACAGTTGGATAATATTCATGATTCATAATATAGATATATTGGGCCCTTATTAAGGGCCTAATATATCTATATTATGAATTATTAATTGTAGCCCTATTATAGACTGTTACTGTATGGGGGCAGTACCCAGCCGAAACAGCATTTTGGTATTTGTCATAGCCCAAGATGTCTGATGTGCCGTCAGGCCCAGGGCCTCTCCGAGACGCACACGCTCCTTTGATCTTCTGGGAAGATTTACGGGGAACTCCAGAAAGTTGGAATATGGATTAATGGTAGGATCCCCTATAATTTTACCTTAAAGGGGTTACGATCATGATATTCCAACTTTCTGGAGGTCCTTGAGCCCAGGCCACACTTGGACCAGCTGATCCGCGAGGGTGTGCTTCTGGAACGGCACTACGCCTACAAGATCTGCTCCCCCTCCAGGCCTTTGGGCTTGGTGTTTGGGTTTCTGCAAGCTCAGAAGCACAGAAAGAACGACATGACGGCTCAGGGTCATGAAAAAGATCTGTACTGTCTCTAGAGCATATCAAAGTCCTCTAACATACAAGAGCCAAGGAAACGCGTTGCACTTGGCGAATAAGCCTTACCACGAATACTGTTTTTTTTTTTGGGGGGGGGGGTCCGTATTATACCCCCAAGCCCTATTCAAAGTATTAAAAGCCCTGTATAAGCGCTAAGAGCCCTCAAGCCAAACCCTTCCCGCCTGAAGACTTCAGAGGTCTTCCATTCAAAGTGGTCGCCTGGCGGTGCATGTGAACTCGGTGAACACTGGCGTGACCTTTTGGAACCCAGAGGACGCTAGGAAATGCATTGGAAATGTAGGGGTGTGATCCTGCACCCTACACAGAAAAACCCAAACACTGAGCATCGAAACTGTGCTTTAGGGTTTTATCATTCGGATTGCCTCCCCCCTCTCCCAAACAAACTCAAGGAATCGCACCCCTTTAAAGGGCTCCATGTGAAGTTGCGGTTTAGGGACGGTGGAATTGCGAACAGGACCCTTCAGTCTAGAACTTCAGCAAAACTTGAAAGAGTCAAACTGGAGGAGCGTGGGTCAGGTTTCTATAGGTCTACGTGGCGGTCGAAGGGTTTGTACAGTTTAGGGATGTTTAGGGTTTAGGGTTTAGGCCTGCTGCAAAAAGGGTTTAGGGAGAGAGAGAGAGAGAGGGATGTTTAGGGTTGAACAAGTTAAATAGACCGACAACGCCTTCGATTTGGAGAGAATGGCTTGCGGACCAAGTCAAATCAAAACGGGAGGCTCTCAAGTGTGCCCCTCAAGAGTGCTTGTGAATAACTTAACTTGAACCCTAAACTTTTACCCTAGACCTTGTCGTCCCTAGAGGGCCCTGGATTGTGAGAAGCCCAATCAGCGTCACAGAAAATGTGCTGTAAGTGCAACCGGTATCCCCGAACAGGGTGCCACGTTTTGAGACTAACCCATATGACTCTCCCATCGATT